GTAAATTGAAGTATTGAAACAACAATTATGTACTAAGATTAGTTTTTGAAGTTGAACTTGAAAATGGCTTGAATATGCGACATGTTTGTAGTTTGTTCTATGGCCAAATTCAGTTGCAAACTTAGTTTTCAAATGAACATAATTATTGTTGAATCATTGCGATGCATTTGAAAATTGTAAGGCTCGAGACCTATATTGAATCATTGCGATGCATTTGAAAATTGTAAGGCTCGAGACCTATGTAAACTATTCATAGTTTAGGCGATTCTCGAAAGTAGCTCGAATGGCATGAATATCTCACTTTGTTTATTATGGATTTTAGAGCCCCCATGTGTTGGGTTATGCCCATTTGTGCTATTTTTCAAGTCTTGGAGCCCTTAATTTGGGGTAGTTCTGATGACTTTCTATTGTTTAGGTCATTCATATCATCATGATATGGGAAGGGGCCTATGTATCCTATTGTCGACACCTGATTGTGTCTCCCCAAAAACCAAACCCAATGATGAGTATCTTTCGCGTCTTTGATTATCGAGTTAGGTGAAGAGTTGAAGAGTCTCGCGAATTTCCCTTTAGCGTTGTCCATTTCTAACCTCTCCTAAAATGTCTTTAAACCCAAAATCGTTCATTTTGTGTCTTTGAAAAATCATTCATTTCGTGTCCGCTTTATAAAACGTCCAAACCAGTTTAATTTGGTATATAATACTGGTCCAATTATTTCTTAGTTCGATGGGGCTTGAAAAGATCTTTCCAACGATATATTATAAGCTCAAATCCAACTTATAACAAAGGAGTTTTGTCCAAAATACTAAACCAAGCCCAAACCGGACCTAGGTCCACCTTACCTACGACCCAATGATCATGTGAGGGTCCAATTACCTTAATTCCATTCCAAAATCAATTAGGATTCATTAGGAACTTCTAGAATTCTCTAGAAGGTTCTAATCTATCCTTTCCGAAAGATAAAGATCAAACAGTTTGAAATTGAATAAAACTTCTCATTTTGGAAAATACTTGTCGAATTCACACATGTTATTGTGCCTCATAATTTTTCCAAATCTTATATGGTTGGATAGCCCTTGAAATTATCTTTCCAATGATATATCATAATCCCAATTTCGAGCTATAATGAAAAAGATATGAAAGAAATACCAAACTCTATCCAAAATTGACACTGTTCTACTATTTCGGTCATATCGTTATATCAATATAATTCCAATTGGGTTGGAAATTAGACTTCCAGAAATTTCCAACGATATATTATTTATCTTATTCCGATTTTTGGATCAAAAGTTGTGATAAAAACAAAAACCGCAAAATTGCAGGATTATCGTGCCGCGACAAGGCTGTCGCGCCGCGATGGAACCTGTTTTACTTTGATTTGGTTTTTGACTCTTTTTCTGATCCTTCGACCCTCTTTTTCCCTATAAATAGAGGTCTTTTAACCCCGTTTTCAATCATCAACAAGCTTGATCACCAACAATCATCCTTTAATCCCCTCTCTAAGCTAAAAGCTTTTCTCTCTCTCTCTTCTTTCTTGATTTCTAGCCTTAGCCTAAACATCCCAACACATCCAAATACACATACTTGATACTCCCAACACCTTTCCTCATTCACGGGCTTTGAATACTCCTAGTCAATCTCGAAGTTGCCTTCGTCCTCGACGTGAAAGGTTGATAGTTCTGAGGGTTTGGTCCCAAATCTATATTTCAATTTTTATTAAGTTTATTTGCTTTATTTGATTTAAACTTTCTTGAAGTTACTAACGTGTATACTCCCTCCGTTAATTTTTATGTGCAACTTTTACTATTTTGGTCCGCTAAACATTATGTGCAACTTTCTATTTTCTTCCTCTTTTAGCAAAAAAAAACTAGTCAAATGTCAATATTACCCTCATTTAAAAAATTAAAACACAGTTTACTAACTATAATCAGATTTTATTAATCACTAATTCTCACCCAATTTTCACCCCAACAAACCCAATCTAATTCATCAACTCTTCATCTTCAATTCAAGAAACCCAAAACCATCCTCATTCATCTTCATCTTCAGTTTCACCTTCCCCCATATTTTCTCTCTCCTCTTTCAAAACCAGAGACATTCATCTTCATCTTCCCCCATATTTGCTCTCTCCTCTGTCATCCTCATCTTCCCCCATTGATCCTCTTTCTCTCTCTTCAACTTTAACCGACGATTTCGTGGGTTTTCGTGAGGGTGGTGGTGGTTTCGTGGGGTTGGTAACGGTGGTGGTTTCGTGGGGGTGGTACTGGTGGTGGTGAAGCCCGCGTTGAAGGCGGCGGTGGTGTTGGTGAAGGCGGTGTAGGTCGTGGTTTTGGGTTCGAGTTGGGGGTTTAATTTCTGGTGGGTTGGTTTTCGTGGGTTTTCGTTTTCGGTGGGTTGGTTTTCGTGGTTCCGTTGATGGGTTTTGGTGGATGGTCATGGATTTGGGTTTTGGTGGGTGGTCATGGATTTGGGTTTCGTGGGGTTGTTTGGAGGTGGTTGCCTGGGTTTTTTTTGGGTGGTACTGTTAGGTTTTACAGTAAATGCAATCAAGCAAAATACTTAAAGTAAGTGTGGGAACAAAACCTAAATTATATGATTATAAAACAATAATGTATTGCAATAGTTCAAACACAACACAATGTGTTACAATCAAGTATTAATAAGTCTAAGAAATTACAGAAAATTTCTAGAGACAACACTAATGTGAAGTTTAATTATACTTGCCTTAACACCAAGCCGATCAAACACACATGAACATGAGAATAGCAATGCCCCTTGAGACTACGACCTTGATACACTGTCAAAGGCGTATGAATACTTTCCTAAAGTGATTAATTTCCCCCACACGGTGCTTGGGTTATTCCAGAAATTCCCTTTGAGATACAATTGACAGCCCTTTTCGTTCTTAGCACAAAGAATCGAAACAAAGATGAATAATTCACAAAATTTGGAATGATTGCAAGAGTTTTCTCACAAAAGTTTGCAAGAAGTTTGTGAGGAATTGTAGAGAATACTTGGGGAGAGAAGAAGAATATCTTATTTCGTACTTTCTCTTCTGAAAAATCAAGCCTTTTAACAAAGACTCAACCGTCAAAAAAAACCGCAAAAACAGGGAGGCGCGGGCGCTCCACCAAGAGGCGCGGGCGCTCCTAACTAGGAGCGGGTGCACCTCTTCTGAACTTGCGAAATTCACAAAGGAAGGCAGAGTGGTACGCGGTTTAGGCGCGACCACAAGCGCGAGCGCGCCATCCATGATGCGCGGGCACGCCACCAGATGCGCGGCCGCGCCAACTTCACACTTCCAAATAGACAAATTCCAGTGAGGTCCGCGGTTTTAGCGCGCTCACTGCACGGCCGCGCCTTCCCAGCGCGGTCGCTCCTTTTGGTGCGCGAGCGCAACACCATTAACACTCTAAATAATCCAACAGGTACGGTGGTGATTTCGTGGGGGTGGTGGGTTTTCGTGAGGGTGGTGGTGGTTTCGTGGGTTTGGTTGTGGTGGTGGTTTCGTGGGGGTGGTAGTGGTGGTGGTGAAGGCGGCGGTGGTGTTAGCCGGTCTTGGTGGTGGCAGTGGGTGGTTGATTAATTATCCAAACATTCTTTCTCCATCTTAATTACATACCCCTATAATACATTAATCACCATTATCAAGTTTTGCCTCGTGAACCGTAAAACCCCCCAAAGTTTGCACTTAAAAATTAACGGAGGGAGTATTATTTTGATAGAAAGAGATAGGAGGCATCAAAGTGAATGGATCTACTATCTTTATTCCTCGATTTTAATTCCTAGTTTCATGTTTAGGATTTTATTATGATTTCTAGTATCATGTTTAGGATAAAAGTTTGATCTATATTATTAGTGATATGCTAGGGTTTGTTATTAATCTATTTAGTATCATGCCTAGGATCTTACTAATAATGTTATCATGTTTTGATTATGATGATGATTGTTGGGTTAATTAATTATGTTGCTTGATATTCATGATTTATTGTTATTGCTTGATCGCACCCCTTTTTGCAGGTTTAAAGGGAATTGGTACCTAAAATCACGCCTAATAAGATAATTAATAATTTGATTTTAGGCTAATATGATTTTAATTCAAGTGATCACCAATAATAGATTTATTTGTGCATTAATAATCAACCAACATAGGTTAAACAGGTTTAGGGTTAACTTATTGTGTGTATGTTCATCAAAAAGCGCACATGAATATCATAAGAATTAAGTAAAGGCCGATTTAGGGCAGGTTCAATCTCTTGTAGGTTGGATTCGTACCATCATCCCCGAATATCCAGTTATGGTTCCGGACCACTATGGAGTTAGCGATCTCCGTGATCGTGAATGGAGTGTAACCTTCACACCCATGAACGATTTACAAGTTCCTAAAACTTGTTGGCGACTCTTTTATCTCTAGTTTCCTTCCCTTTGGACGCCACCATACTTAAAGGCATGATCACAGTGGGGCTCAAAGTTGAGTTTGAAAAATTCCGTATACCTATGTTTTGTGTTTTGAGACATTTAGGATAGTGACATGGCTTATGTATTTTTAGAAGTCATGGTTAAGGAAGCAAGTTAGTTCTTTGTTACCTTATAAACCAGAAACAATTGTAGTTAAGGTTTAGTATACTTTACCTAATGTCAAAAAACGTTGTAGAGATCATTGAGGTACGATTATTCTCAAAGTTAATTTGGAACATCTCAAATATTTTTTCTTCGTTCTTATCAATCATTAATTTTGGTCTCGTAGGTGGTTCGTTAACCATCCCTAAGCTAATATTCGTAGGAGGATTAGCCAAAAAGTAGTTCGAGCTAAGAAGTCGAATCTTAGTTCATTCCTTTTGGAAATATTTACATATATGATTCTAGAACTCTTTAAAAAGTCTAAGGCACCAAGGTTGTAGCAAATTTATTGTTCCTTAAACTTTATGAACAACGAAATACCGCATTTGCCCTCTACCCCCTTGGCTGAATTGCCCAATTTACCTAGGTTAGTTTGGTCTTTTTGGGTTATCCCATTTCTCTCTCTTGCTTTTGATTGTCTCATCCTCACTCCTCAGCATCCTCGCATCATCACCACCAGTTGATGTTTGAACTGGCCGCATGTGGCGAATCCTTTTCCTACTCCCACCGCCGGCCTCCCACCCAAGCATATCCTAGCAGTTTCCCTTCTTCGATCAACATCTATTCAAACCCTAATTCCTAGAACAATTCGACACCCACAAATTTCTCAATACCACCTCCAGATTTTGAGCTTTCTCTGCGTTTTCCTCCATTGAAGCTTACTCCGAGCTTCTAATGAAGGCTTGAAGGGTACTCTGCGTTTTATCTCTCCTCCATTAAAGCAGCTCCTTGAGGTAAGATCATTTATCATTTTTAATAATCATCTAATATCAATATAAAAATCTAGGGTAAATCTTTAATTTGTTTTGGTTGATCTTATGGAGTGATTTTCTCAAATTCGATTACTGAGGTAATTTCATATTCTTTTTGGGTTTTAAGTTCTGTTTATTTTGATGGGTTTTATTCATAATCAGGGATTGTGATGGGTTTTGTTGATAAAATTGGATTTTTAAGCGGCCGAATGGTGGCTTCTTAATGCCGCTGCTGTTTGGCGTTAGATTGTGCTGGTTGCGGTTTGAATGCGACCGTGAAGGGGCGAGGAGTAGCAGTAGCAGTGGGGTTTGTGGTTGTGTAGCAGGGGAGATGTGGGGGTGTGCGAAGTGCAGTCCGCAGGGACTGCACTAGTGTCGGTGATGGTGGTTAATGGGCTGCTTGTGGCTGTTGTTGGGCGGAGGTGGAAAATTAATGGTGGTGCGCGATCAGTGAGGTTTGTGGGCTGTTGTTGCGGGGGAGATGTTGCGAGAGGGCTGTTGGGATTTTTGTGAAAGTTTTTGGGGTCTTAAGTTTGTTAATTGTGATGTTTTGTTGTGATGTTTTGTTTTTTAATTTTTTTTTTTTTTGTTGTTATTTGTTTGAAAATGTGTTTTGATAATTGATCGTGCTTTTCCTCAAATCAACACCGTAGATGATGATTCTGTTGGGACTAGATGGGCGGTTCTGATTGCTGGGTCTAATGGATACTGGAATTAGAAGCACCAGATTATAATTTCATCTTTAATTTTCCTTTAATTCAATTTAATTTTTTAATTTATTTGGTGAAGTGTAGTTTTGACTTTATGTTAATTGTAATTTTGGGTTGGATTTTTCTAGGAATTGGTTTCGATGGAAATTATCAACTGGGTATTGTGAATTAACTGTATATGATTGATTTTTTTTTTTTTCTGGGCATTGTGAAGTTACAAGTAATTATAATTTCCATCGACGAAGAATAATATTGATTGTGGTCAAATTTGATTCTCTTACAAGTATTAAGCTAAATGATGAACTTGGATTAAAAATAAAAAATAAAATAAAAAGCTTGTGTCGCATAACAGATCCTAGATTGTGCAATTATTGGTAAGTGAGAATGTATCTTTGATAATGTATCTCCTTTGCCGTTTTTCAGCAGCAAATATTGTCATTGTTCATAGAAGGGATGAAAAAGTTCCACAAATACTTGTATGGTATTGCTACCAAAGACGTCGAATCAACTCTTCCACGTCTAAAAGAAGTAAGTCAAGAAAATTCCAACAATTCTGACCTTGATATTCCTATGCATTCTCACACACATTGTCCTTTCTGTGATCATGGCTATATATGTTATATGTATATATGGTATATGATTTATGTTTGATTAAAGTTTAATCTCAACTCTCGTATTGTCATAAAGAGATGCCATAAACCCTTGCTGAATGTCCACTATCAAAATTGTAACAACTAAATGTAATCACCTCATTCTTACCAAATGTTTCTTTTATAGATTGTGATGGAACCTCAGATAATAACTTTGGAGGAGGACCTAGATAACGCGTCAAAGAAAGTAAAGGTAATCTGAATAAGGTTGTGCCTGTATGATGAAATTTTTTCTGGGGATTGGTTTTTGATGGAAATTATCAACTGGTTATTGTGAATCATCTACTGGAAATTATGGCAAGACTTTAACTTTGTTGTTTTTTTAAAATAGTTTATTGATTTGGTTGCCATAATGACAGTAAAATTTCTTGGTATGTATATAGAATTGAGGGGCAGACCAGTAGTGACGTAGACGGGATTTGATATCAATGAGTCCGGGTAATAACCAAAGACTTTACCAACTTAGCTAACTGACATTGACTTTGAAATTGATTTTTGGAGGAGGGTTTGTGTTTTGTCAATGTGTGTGTTTTTTTTTTTTATTATTTTTATGGTTTGGGAAACATTGTGCTTTGTCGGAATATATTCATCTATTATTCGGACCCTGGTGATGCTGGTGTGCTCAGTTAGTATTTTTGATCTTCATTAGTTCTCTTGCAAATCATACTTCTGTTGTTTGTGAAATCTTTTTGTTTTACCTGTTAATATTATGACTCTCTTACAATATCTTCTATTGTACTACTATAGCATTTTTTAGTGTTGAGTATTTGCTGGTAATAACAGCATATTATGGAAATTATTGTACGGCTACTCTCTCTTGGCTTTTAGGTGCTTTCATGCTGTCTATCTGACTTATCCTTACAAAATACTTCTTCATATAGTAGATAGGACATTGGCAGGTTTGGAATTGAACTCCTGCTGCTCTTTTCCCATGCCTTGTTTAGTATTATATCAATGTGAGCACACAATGATTATTTGAATATTATGGTGTTTTTTGGTTTTACAAGTGCATTACCATTTGAAAATGAACTTACCCCTAGGACTGTTAGTTGTCATGTTCAATTTCACTACTACTCCATATTGCCGGATCTTCTCCAATGTGCTCAATCAATGTTTATCATATTGTTACTTCTGAAATTGGATTTCAACCCATTTCCAAAAAATTGACAATGAAAACTTGCTATTGATAGTACATGTTTGTTCTTATGCTTTTTAGGTTGTTAACTCCAGGGAATGGCTGTTGATTTCACGATACTAGGCATCAGTAAGGACTCAAGTCTCCTAAGGTCGAAATGATTGACAATCTGTTCAAAACCTGTGTTTGACACTGAAGATGAAGTTATCATGAGGTATGTTTTAGGAAGATGTTACTTGTGTGAATGCTGTCTTAAGCGTAAGCAGTCCTAATATGGGTTATTATATTTCATCAGGGAGGCTCTACTTGATTCAATGTCTGTTAAAAGAAAGCCTGAACATATCATCATATTTAGGTACGAGTTTTTGCCTAATTAGTATTTAAGATCTCTGCATATTTTTTTTGCAAAACCATTGAGGTTTTCCCATGATTATTAAACTATCTTACTGTGCATTCTTTCATAATTTTCAACTTTTCGTAACCAACATATTCCAAACTCTTGGCGTAAATTCCTGGATGAGAAGTGGAACCCAAAGTTTGTGGTGATTGTGGCTCAGAAGAATCACCATACCAAGTTTTTCTAGCCTAATGCTCCTGAGAATGCCCCTCATTTGAAAAATAATAAAAAGATGCAACATGTATGGCTTTGTGGGTTCTATTCCAAGACTTTAATCTAAGATTGTTGTATCTTTTAAGCCACAATCACCGGAAATGTTGTTTTACAGCACTTTCATTCATCTTATTTCTGTGTAAGAAGCAGCACTTGTTGTTTTACATGTTTTGATTTTGATCAAAGAATTGTTTTGGCGTCTTAGTGTATTGGTTTTATAAAATCAGAAGGAACAAATTTTGAGTCAGGGTATGAAGTTGGAGCCTTTGAATCTCCAACAGAAACTCCGCTAATCCATAAAGAAGGAGAAGCAAGTCCATGGTCCAAAACACCTTGTAATTTATTTGGATTGATGTGATGATTTTGGTATTAGAATTTGATAGTTACAAAGATTATTTATGTTTTGTCTGTTGGTAATAATGATAAGCTTTGTTGGTTTTGATTTTTAATTAGGTTGTTATGCCATTGTTTTACTGCACACACACCCCGTTGCATAACAATCAACTTAATTTAGTTGACGTTAGCCTATTCTATAGTTGATTTGACAATTTTATAAGTGAGATTTTTGACAAATGAACCTATCTATGAAGTAAGTAGTAACATCTTTGATGACATGTCCAGTTAAGTATTTTAGCATTGATCAATACTATTATCATACAATGTTTCTGGAAAAAAGTTGTGCTGAATAATTCATGCCAATTGATTAAAGGGTATGATTATCAAAGTAGCAAATTGAAAGTTTATACCTTTCTGTTTTGTGGTACTTTAAAGAACTAGGTCATATCAGGGTTTATACGTTTGAATTGTAAAGTCTGATTTATAATATGGTTGAAAAATCTATTTTCTGGAAAAAGAAAAAAAAAATCTATTTAAAATAGTATATTGTGGAAAGATATTAATTTGAGAGTGAAATATAAGATGCATCCTGTTGTTTATGTACATCATTTCTACTTATAAATATTGATGATTATTAGTGTATGATAGATGTTGATCACCATGTATGCTGTGCAAGCAGGATATGAAAGCGTGGGAATGCAGTACTTAGAAGCTATTAGGAAGCTGAAGGATTCTGGTTTTGAGCCAATTCGTACTATTTATTTATCATATTTGCCAGATGGAGAGATTGGGGGACGTGATGAGGCTGAGAAGCTGGCCGATTCTGATGTGTTTGAGAAAATGAATGTGGGCTTTGTGCTGGATGAGGGAATACCTTCACCAGATGAGAAGTATTTGGCGTATAATGGGGAGAGGTCGCCAATGTGGCTGGTTATCAAGGCTACTGGGGCACCTGGGCATGGGGCAAAGCTGTATAACGATTTTGCAATGGAGAACTTGATGAAAAGTGTTGAGAGTATCAGGGGCTTTTGTGCGTCGCAGATTGATATGCTAAAAGCTGGCTTGAAAACTGACGTAGAGGTGATTTCGGCGAACTTGGTATATTTGAGAGCTGGCACACAAACACCTAATGTAAGTCCGTGTCTTTATTGTGGCAGAGGGTCTAATGGGTCTGGTCAGATTGTATTGAGTAGAAGAAATTTTGTAGATTTCAATTTGAAATATTGAGGAAAAATTGTAAATAACATGTGTCATCAGTAATGTAAATTAGTTTTTCAATAAATTCTTATTTTTTAAAAAAACTAAAAAAAATCATTACATAAGTTATTAAGAACTAACCCTTTTTCTCATTCGTGCAACATTTAGATAAAATTCTTAATATTAGAAGATATCTTTTTGTTTTTAAAATGAGGAAATATTGAAGAAAAAAAATACATATATAGCCAATCAACCAGTTTTAGGTTTCAATTAACTACTTATATTATAAATTAATGAAGAGCCTTAAAGATCATTATTTACTTAGCATCGTCATCAACTTATTGATTAACTTGTAAGAGCAACTTCAATGGTTGTAGTTAGGAATTTGTTTGCAATTTTAAATAATTTTTAGCTATTAGCTTGACCAGTGGAGCTAGAAAATGCAATTGGCTTGGCCAAGCAAATTAAATAATTTCTAGCTATTAGCTAATTTGCTTGAAAAAAATACTTGCCAAAAAAGAATAAATAAAATTAAATAAAAAGAAGCTATTTAAGTAATTGAGGTCATTTAAAAAGCAAGCTAATAGCTAGCCATTGGAGCTCAAAGTAGCTACAATGACAATTAGCTTAAAAGCTTATGTGGCTTGGCAAACTAATTTGACAATTAGCTTGCCATTAGAGTTGCTCAGTATCAAAAGCATTTTTTGAAGATATCTTGTAATAAGAAATAGTTCAATTTTGTATAGAATATGAAATAGTCTGTACAATTTCAAAACCATGTCAATCTAAAAAAGGTTAGAGGCAGAAGGAGATGGACATATTTGAAATAAGTGATAAAAGGAGAGATTGGCAAGAGAGTAAGTGGGAATTGACTTTATGACCATTTTTCAATTAAATTTGAAGACAAGATATTGATCATTTTTATAAAGAACATCAATAGTGTATGGTTTATTTTATGGAAAACAAAGCAAAAGGAAAACCAACAATGAAAAATAGTTTTTGAAATTTGTAAAACCTTAGAAGATGGGGAAGAATTTATGGTAGAATCATGCTAGATTTATACATAAATGCTTTTTATGTGTGTGTGTGTGTGTGTGTGTGTGTGTGAGAGAGAGAGAGAGAGAGAGAGAGAGAGTACAACCTGTAATAAGATTGAGATAGATAAATTTCGTATAAACATGAACCCAAATGAATAAGGTACATACCAGCTTCCCTCGTGGACTAGTGGTAAGAGAATGAAAGCTCTGAAGTCTAGGTCCAGGGATCAAGCATTGGTACCACCTCTCTTTCTCTCTTCTCTAAAAAATGAATAAGGTACATATGCAAGTAGGACTTAGCTATAAACTCTACAAATTGGTTAAAAAAAAGAGAGAGAGAAAGAAAAGATATTACTAAAGAAGGTAATAGGGTACAAATAAGTAAATAGGATAAATAGAAGATTTTTACCCCACTGGTTATAGCCCTAAGACCTATTTCGTGAAATAACACAATAACAAGATATCTATGTTATTGTAAGAGAAAAACCTTTAGATAACTGTTTAAGAACTTAAACTTATAATTATGATAAACTTATTGATTATCTCATAGTCAACATGAATTATATAGAAGCACTTTTAACAAGGATATTGTGCTAAATTGGGGGGGGGGGGGGGAAGAGAGAGAGAGAGAGAGGCTAGGAGAAAAGAAAGAAGGAAATTGATCCCTCTATCTCTCCCGGCTTCTCTCTATCTCCATCTTTCTTCCGACCTCCCTCTCTTGCTTTTAAATTTCAAATTTTATTTTATACACTAATCTCAATAAGTATTTGTATTATATACAAAATACTTATCCTTAAACTAGGAGTCTAACACCTACTTGTCTATGTTCATTTTAATTTGAGTAAGGGTTAGTATTTTACATTTAAATGATGCAAGCAGCATCCCTTTTACCAATCCTCCAATCACCCTGATCGCACCACTCAGTTTGTCAATCCTCCAATCGCTTTAATCCCACCACCCAGTTGCCAATCCTCCACTCAATCCTCCAATCGCCTTGATCGCACCACCCATTTTTCCAATCCTCCAATCACCTTGATCGCACCACCCAATTTTCCAATCCTCCAATCGCCTTGATTGCACCATCCAGTTTGCCAATCCTCCAATCTCCCTAATCGCACCACTCAGCTTGTCAATCCTCCAATCACCTTTATCGCACCCCCCATCGCAACACCCAGTTTGCCAATCCTCCAATCACTCCTGAATATATTTTATATGGCAACTCAGAATTAATGTTTTAATGAATAAGTCATAATATCCTTCCACCCTATTAAGTTTGTATGTCTCAACACAGCTCAACCTGCTATATAAATAAGCAGTTTATAACATTCAACACTAATTAATCAATTTTAGTCACAGTCACCATAAGTATTCCTATTGACTATTCCATTGACAATTTACTAACCAAGGTATTGTATTAAGTGAATGTTGACTTGAAGTGTAACTGCTACATGAATTGAAACACCAATAAATTTATTGAATAATAAGAAACAGAATTCATTCAATTTAGTTAACACACCTCAATATTACATGTTTCCAAACAAGATTAATTGCTCAAAATATATGGACAATGAAGTCTGTCTACATAACTATAATTTATAATCGTATAAGTTATATATATATATACACTAGTAGAAAAAATCTAATAGGCACCCCCCCTTTAGCACCAGTTCTTTGGGGTTTTATACACACACACACACACACACATATATATATATATATATATTGAATACCATTCACATTATCAAGAATCATGTTCAATGATGTTTCAAAATATTTTACACTTATAAATTACATAACTTTAATACAATTAAACCGATAAAATAATGATTAACACAAAACATAAGCTAATTAAATGATAATAACCAATCAGATATCACCAAATTGGTATGAAATAGGTTTTTCTGATTCACATTATAAACCCCAAAGACTATGATTTACAAATCAATCACCTATCCTCATTTATCATATGTATACATTAAAACGATGCAACAATCACAAATCACACAATTTTTTATTTCCCATCTAATTTCATGAAATTGAAGGGGCACTAGCTACTAAAAAATTACTAACACAAATCGTGATTAATTTGTTGAAGCTACCTTACTGATCACATATAAGGGGATTAAACAATCAAATAATAACTAACACAAATGTTTGCAAGTGATAAATTAACATATAATCAAACAATTTACAAAATAATAACAAATTAAGATCATCAAAATTAAAATAATGCAATAAATTCAATTCAATCAACACACCCATATATTACATTAATTCCTTAGCAGCATAATCTATTCCATCATATTTCAATTTTGATCAACGCTAACAACTATACCTAACTTCGTTACAAATAAAACATTAGAGATAATATGCGCATATAGCATCGCATAATTACACATTAGTCACCAAGCATAGATCACCAAATTGGGGGACCGCGCGCGTAGCGCGAGGGCCAACAACTAGTTTGTCCAAAAGTTTATGGGAAATTTCAAAAGTCGTTTATTTTGATAAAATAAAACAAAGTTCAAAAAATAAATTTTGAACACTATTTTTTGAGAAAGTTGTGAAAAATAAGAAACTCGTTTTTTTAAATTAGAATTCAAAATTCAGAAAAGAGTCCAGTAAATTAATGAAAGTTTGTTATGAAAAAAGTGGAACTACTATTTCTAGTAGACAAAATACATAAACATGTTATTTTCAAAACTGGACCAAAATGGAAAGAAAAGCCTAGCTCGTAATTGATTGTGACTTTTGTGTCCGAAATAGATGAAGGACAAATTGTAATTTGCAATTTATCTCAAAAAGATATAAAAATTTGAGCAAACTCTTGTATATCAAATCTTTTTGTCTCTTTTTTGTGTTTGCCATCATTCTCATATTTGCTAATTAAAATGAATTGCTCTCAATTGATCAGGCACCGTAGTTTGAAAATGGATATTACCAAACTTAAATTTCATGGAATGTTAGAATAATTTATAAAATCATTCGAATCACTTTCCAAAAATAAATATGGTCCAAATTCAAAATGAAGGTTAAGATAGACCTATATTTTTGTAGTCCCCAAGTGTAGACTTAGGTGGCTTTTGGAATTCATGTACACATATATTTGGTGACGTTTCTCATATTCGAAGCCCCTAGAATTTGTGTTTCCAATTTGTATTATTTTGCATATGTTTATCATGAATTCATGTTTTATCAAATTATCGTGGTCAAATAATCGGAAGTATTATTCTTCCCTTTGTCATTTAAAGTTACTAAGATGGTTCATAGTAAGCTTTATTTGACTTTGATTTCGCAACATACAAGTTAGCAATCAATTAACGTGTTCAAATCTGTAAACAGAGGGAAATAAGGATGTCTTGGCTCTTTTAGCCCCCAGTTTGAGGCAAAGAATGAAAAAATCATACCATCTTTGGGGTATTTTAGTTGCCAAATGGGAGGGATCATCTTGACTTAACCCCCCCCCCCCCCCAAAAAAAAAATGACCAAAAAAGACGGATTTACATACATAAAAAGGAAGTGGAATCCAACTTTCCCATAGAAAAATAAATAAAGAGAATTAGACATGTTTTTCGAAGAGCAAAGATTCTTGACTTAATAGTTGAATCATCGTGATGACTTGACGGTGAGGTATACGTGTAATAGTAATACAGATGATGTAGCGATCATGATCAATCCCTCGCTTAGAGAGGATGAATATATCCCACGCAGGCAGCCATATTAATTTCTCATGATAAATGAGAAGGCTAATGTTCAAGAGTTGTAAGAGACATCTAAAGTTGACGTCGAGGATGTCAATATATCAAATCAATTTAACGTATTCACTCAATTTCTTTCTAGGCAATGTATATAGGATTTGAATTACGTTAGTAATAAATAGCCCTATTATTAATAGAAAATAAGATGATTGTTTTGGAAGTGATACTCATCTTAATTTTCTTTAAAAGATATGGAAAGCATTGAATAAAAAATTGATTCGAGTGCTCTACTAAAATGGTGTAATCAAGCCAATGGCTATCAAATCACCCAATTTTTATTACTTGACTTTTTAATCATTTCTCAACACTTTATGCACTTTATGCATGGGCCTAACAG